AAATTACTTACATCAAAATATCGACAGCAAAAGGAGCACATTAATAACAAATTTTAAAATTATTCGAAAACTTTCTCGCAGACCTCAATATTGATGTCAAAGAGTGTGAATTGCTGTGATAGACTCACTCGGGACATGCTCCAAAAGAAACGTAGGCTGCAAATAACGAGCCAGCAATGCATGAAAAACCGCTTGCCATGATAGCATGTAATTCCGAAGCTGTTTGCGTCTCCAGGCAGGGCTTGATCAGTAGAGCAGCCTCAGACTGAAGTATTATGTCTTCAGATGGTGTTAATAGAAAGATTGATTATTAATAACAATGTGGGTTTTCTGGTGTAATATAGGAAAAATGAGCATGCAGATATCCATTCAGACTTTATAATCCGAACATATGCCAATGCACAATCATACTTTTGCTCAACAAGCGGACCATTCATCATACTTAGTTACGCCCTTGACCAATGAAGGGAAAAGCATATACCTGGCCAAGGATGACGCACGCACATGCGTTGAGTGATTCCGCTGCTGTAGTGCCAAGAGTAGCTTCCATAATACGTCCCGTTTTTCCAAGAATCCATTGAATAATGCCGTAGTAGTAAAGTAAACTGACAACGGCGGAGAAAAATACAAGCACATGTATTGACTGAAATAAGATTTTTCCAAGAACACGAGAGAGAAGTGTTAGTTTGGCCAAGTTCATAAAAGACAATATCATTCACGATACGATAACCTTAATAGCGAATGAATTCAAAGCGAAGCTGTGTACTTTGAAAAATCGATATAAACAGAAAGTCGCCCTATCAAATTTCCCCCAACTTCGGCCATTTGCATCTCGTATTTTCCGCAATTTTTTTTTCTGACGCTCATTTTCATATATTTTCTTAGTGAGATGCTGTACAAAGTTCAAAGCCCTTTTTCTGCCCCAAAAAACTAGGCACCTCTTTTTTCCAAAATTTTTGTTGTTGTTTTGAACTGCGACATAGAATATCAGAACGACGGGAATCAGCATTTTTGATATTTGGCAATATTTGCTTTCTAGTGACAAAGAATTCGCGAGAGACGTGTTTGTTCCGCTTATCGAGAAGATGCCACATCCTGTAGTAAAGATTGGTTCACTGAATTCCATCATTGGCCTTGAAGACGCATCAATCTTTAGCATAGCGTCCGAGTTCAAAGGGGATCATTTTATAAAAGAATGTTGCCTCCGTTCTCTTTAAATCTTGTTCTGAAGAATTGCCATTTTTCCCAAATCCAAACTATGGGCAAGATGGGACTTCTAACGAAGTCATAGTGATTGGCTATATATGGCGTCGCCAAAAGGAGGCCTCGCGTCTAATGGACATCTACAAATTTCAGAAAAAGTAGGAGGTGGTTCTAAGCAGTGACGAGCACTGTATTTCGAATAACTTACTGTTGCCGTTTAAAATAGAGTAGTTTTTTGAATAAAGGTTAAGAAATTAAGTTGTAAATGCTATTTTTGCTAACGTGAAATTTTATTTTCAGTTCAAAAAGTTAAATAAATTCAGATGTCGAGGCATAATGAAAGAGTATGTAGCAAAAGGAGAGAGATTTTTAACCACACACAACTGGTCAAAATATAATAAAAG